AAGCTCTTTCTCTGCATCAACCCCTGCTTTCCAGTAGTCTTCTCACAAATTCAGCCACTTCAGGTACTTGAATTTTTCTTCCTGTGCCATAATTTAGAAAGTGCCTCCAAACAAAAAGCATTGCTGATCTTACCTAATTTGTTTCCTTTCTATCTAGGATACAGTCCTATTCTGTTGTCCAGTATCTGAAACACTTGTATGATATATTTTGTCCAGGTGTCTAGTTTTTTATGGCAAGAGAGAAAATCCAGAACTGCTTTATAAATTTAGTAGAAGTTGTAAGACTATCTCTCTAATAGGCCAGATTTTCTTAAAATTTCCAGGTACACTAGATACTAAGTATGCACATATTCCTTCTTAACCCCAAAATACTAATGCCACAATTTTACTTCTCTTAACCATTGTTATACTTAATTCTGCATTTTACTGGAATTGAAAGATTCTCACTCATTAAGGAAGACAGTTGTCATCCAATTTAACTGAACAGATCTTAACCAAACACTGTTCTTGGCAGTCCTGAGAGGACTCACTGAGCCCTATTTATAATTGCCATGTTAATGATGCCATAACTCAAAAGAAGTGCCACTTGGCCCACATCCCTGGGTTCAAGATAAACACATGACCTAATTCTTCAGTCTACTTACAGAAGTTTGCAACTCCCGCTCAAGTTGATCAATTGATCATATTATGCATTTTTTGGTTCCTAAGATATATATGTGTCTTACTGTATGTATTAAAAGACCTTTAAATTCTATGGAATTCTGCATTTTTTCAGTCTCAAGACTTGCAGATGATATATTGATATTCAGTTGGATTTTAGATAACTCACATGGCTTTGTCAAACTTGCAGCTGTAGCATCTGAGGTCATTCTATTGGCATAGGGTCCCTATCAGTCTGTGGGCACTGTGCCAGCACAGCCTTAAAGAGCTGTGGCACAGACAGGGCAGATGGGATCCTCAGTTGTAGGGCAATGATGACTGTGCCAACGACAGCTCTTTGAGTATGGGGGAAAAAGGGACTTTATATCTATACTTAGAAGGTAAGTGGTGGGCTCGGGAAGATAGTATAGGACAAATGGATATGTTGTTGGTTCATTCAGGAACACGCAAACCCCTCTAGGTATCTTAAACAGAAAGTTATTTAAATTAGGGAATTAAAAGACAAATTTGGGGGGTTGAAGGAGCAGTGGTGATACCTGGAGAGGAGAAACTACAGAAAGCCATATCATTTTATCAGGAGTAATGCTCATCTGAGCCCACACTCCCCTTCCCTGATACAGCATGCAAGCTCCAGAGGCTTGGGTTTCTGCTAGCTATTGCCTCTACAGGAGTCCACACTCTTCCTGCAGAGGTACTAGAACTGCTGGCACTACTGCAGTAGGCTGCAGTCACCTGCTACTGCCAGGAACAGGATAGTTTCTATTTTCTTCCCACATTTAATTTGTTGTGAGTGCTTCCCATGGCCAGCAATGGACCCCAATGGAGCAGGGAATCTGGAAAATGCAGTTTACAGGTTTCCAGCCAGAATGGTTTAGAAGAGAGTCTAAAGCCTTTTATTTAGTATGGGGGTGTGTCAACAGACATTTTATTGGGCCAGTTACTTCACCTACTAAGATTCAGTCTTCTCGTCTATAAAATAGCAATGATAATACTTACCTCATAGGGTTATTTTGAGAATTAAAGAAGCTAGTGCTTATAAAGCTCTGAGAAAAGTGTCTGGCACATAGGATGCCCTCGATAAATCATTGTGGTTTTTATTATTTTTAGCTAACAGAATGAAAAGGCAACCTGTATCTGGGCTGACCATACAGATGTTTCAGATATGTGCCCTGTTTCACACAGTTGTGTCCTTTACCCAGTAGTATTTCCCATCCACACAGTTCTCGTTCTTTCATTTCAGGGAGGGATGAAACAAAGATTGATTGATTTCCTGCTCACAGTGATATTAATTGCTTGTGATCCCCAAACACTGCATAAGTTAATAACCTTTGTATCCATCCATTCACGCTAAAAGAATTTCTTTTACCAAATGCATATATTCACACACCTCAAAAGCACCACATGAAAAATATTCTTTAAAAAGTGCCTCAGGCATAACATTGAGATCAAATTAATTCAGTCACTCAATCGAGGCTCTCCTGCTGGGTCTCTGGATACTGGGCTGGAACTGGGAGAGCTTTGATGGTATATTCTGTAAGGGGCACAACAGGCATTTGATAAATGTTAGGTAATAGTAATGAGGGCAATAAATAATTGTTATACTGAGTGGATGGAGCTGTTCAGGTTAAGGAGAACACTTCTAAGCTCTAATGCTTAGCGGATAAAGATTGAGACTCTGGAAACCTTTCCACGTCCAACAGAATCACAATTTCCTAATCAGCATCTCAGCCAGTTCCTGGACCAAGAACTGACAACATGAATCTCTCTTTAAATATCAGTCCAAAACATCTCATATTGTTTTTTAAAAACATCAGACTTTGAGCCAGCCAGAGACCCTTACAAAGGGTGGGATCTTAAGACAGCCAACCTCTCTGAGCCTCAGTTTATTCCTCTAAATATCAGGGGCATTAATAATAGCATTTCAAGGCTGCAGAGTACTTCTCACATAAGTAATGGGTATTCTTACTATAAAACCAACCTGCAGTTACAGGCAACTCTGGATCAATTGGATCATCTCCTTAAGAAACTACAACTGGAAGCTACTCTTCAAAAGAAAAAAACAACCTATTTAGTTTCTTTAATGTGATTTTGCATTGGAATATTTATGTGTCATATATACTACAAATGCACCTTTAACAAAACACTAAATATCTAATTCTGAATGAGGTGGGAAATTAATTATCCTAATTTAGCACTTCTCAAACATTTGAGATATTTTTACAAATTATAATCCCATCATAATAAAGTAGCATTCCATAGATCAGGATGTAGTCCATAGATCTGAATAGCTGTCAGAGAAATTAAGTCAGATATTCATGTCAGTCTACCCAGCTGTTCTTCCTTTAGTAGTGAGCTCTACCAGAAAAGTGAAACTTGAAAGAGCTTGCCCAGCAGCTGCCCAACCCCATTCCTAAACATTAAGTAAATGCTTTCCTCCTACGTGCACCGGGATACAGAGACTGACTTCCCGTTACAGTTTTCTCCATGGAAATGTCTCCCTTCTCTTCAATGGTCTGTGAAAAATATTTTTGAGCTTTAAAATCAAAATTCTGAACATTATTTCCCAGATGCCCATTTTACCAAATTGCCATTTCCCTATTATTTTTAATACTTAAGCTGAACGCCAAAAAGTCGCATAAGAGATGACTGTAAACTTTTTTGTGCTAATCAAAATATAATACGAAAACGCTTTGATAAGAACTCTGCAGAACTGTTGTGGGAGGATTTGTTTGTGTATTTCTTTTAAATGCGTTTTAAAATGGACCATAGTAACAGAAATGCAGCTCATTTATTCTACTGGGTTTTTCAAAATGTGCTATAGCTTCAGGAAAATCACTGATACTTAGGAATGTTTATTATACGCCTCTGCTCTAACCTTCTGCTTTATTGATCTTCTTTACCCTCAAAACAAGCCAGTGACGTGGGTCTCTATTATCTTTAATGTCTTCCCAGGAAAACCGAGCCTCAGAAAATGCGAACTTGATTCTTGCAGTTGTTCAGGCCAGAAACTTTGGTGTCACCCATGCTTCTCCTCCTTTACTCCCACCCACACTCAGTCCAAATCCAAATGAGCAAATCGCAAACTTCAAACGCAGATCTGAAGCGTGTCCATTTCCGTTCCAGGCCTCCGGGGTTACTCCAGTGGCCTCCTGTCTGTCCTCCCCGCCACCGTCCCTTTCCCTGCAGGCTGTGACCACACAGCAGCCCGAGAGATCCTCGTAAGATCGCCCCCCCGCCCGCTCGAGCCCCTGGATACCTCTCCCCCCACCCCGCCCCACGCTCCGCGAGCCCCAAAGTCCTCACGGCGAC